CGCCGACTCCCCAAACTGCCGTCACCCGCCGGTCGGGAGGCGGCAAGTGGAGGTCCCACCGAGATCGGCGTAGCTCCGGGAACAGGGAGCGAGACAGTCTTCGGACCGCGGAGGCGGCGCGCATAAGTCCGCAATCGGGGTAAGTGCGCTACCCCCCCAAACGTCCTAGAGACCCCAAGCACCCTAAGATGGGTGGGCAGCAAAGTAAATTAACAGTCAGCCTTAAGGTGCTGCTGAAGCAGCATAAAATGAAAGTCCATGATTCAACATTACAGGACTTTATAAAATTAGTACAGGAGAGTAGTCCGTGGTTTGCTTTTGGAGGGGCTTTAAATCCCCGGGATTGGGAGCAAGTCAAACAAGATCTAACAGAAGAATTAAAAAGGAAGGGCCCCCAAGACATCCCTACTTGGGCATTCTCACTATGGAGAGCGCGGTCCGAGATGCCCTCCTGGGCCCGGCTCAAGTCGCTCAACAAGAATTAGACAAGGTCAGAGAGGACTTTGAACGAGCACAGGCCGAGTGTCAGGAAATTCAAAACCCTTCCGAAAAAAGGTCAGAGGAGGCAGAAACCGCACCAGGGCCTCTGTACCCTGACCTCTTCTCTTTTAAGATTAATGAGGAGGAGTCGAAAGGTGAAACAATAAAAGAGCTTAAAGCTCAAATAGAAAAACTACAAGCTAAGTTACAAAAATGCTGTTCTCCTCCTCAATATACTAGTAACCCATCCTTATCTATAAAAAACCCTCCTCCCACTGACCCTGGACCCAGTCCAATTTGGGCCAACCCATATGAGGAGTATAATAGAGATCAGTGGCGGCGTGAAGTTCCTCGCAGCCCCTGTGTTTGAACAAAATCAGCAGAGATACCATCAGGCTATTCCTATTAAAGAGTTTAAACAACTAAAGGAGGCAGTCTCTATGTATGGACCTCAATCTGCCCTAGTACGATCAATCCTTAAAGAATATCGCCATCAAAATCTAACACCCTGGGACTGGAAACAGCTCATTAGGGCAGGGCTGCCTGGAGGAGACTATCTCCTGTGGCAGACAGATAAAGAGGAAGCCTGCCGGAAAATTGCACGCCTCAATGCACAGTCAGGACAGGCCCATATAAACTTAGACATGCTTACAGGGAGAGGCCAGTATGAAACACTCCAGACCCAAATAGATTATCTCCCGGGGACATATGCTCAAATAGCAACTGCTGCGTTAGCAGCGTGGGGCCGCATCCCCAACAAAGAGGCCGGTGGCCAATTGTCTCGTATTATACAGGGAGGAAGTGAGCCATTTGCCCAGTTTGTAGACAGACTGATCCAAACGGCTAATAAATTGTTTGGGAGCCATGAAGAAGCCCTGCCCATAATAAAACAATTAGCTTATGAGAATGCCAATAAACCCTGTCAAGAAGTTTTACGGCCACACCGCCATAGAAATCTCTCAGATTACTTAAAGCTCTGCAGAGATGTTACAGAAGCACAACAAATAGGAATGGCCATAACTGGAGCTTTACAAAAAAAGAGAAGTTACTATAAATGTGAAAAACCAGGGCACTTCCATAAAGAGTGCAGAGAGGGATCAGAAAGATCTAGAGACAAGCCCCCAGGCATATGTCAAAGATGCAGAAAGGGACCCCATTGGGCAAGAGAATGTCAATCAATTACAGATATTGATGGCAAGCCACTTCCCCAGCAGGAAAACGGAAACCGGCCCAACCCCCGGGCCCCGCCCAAACCAAAAAAACCGAAGGGGGCCCTACAGACGTCCATAAACCCACAGAGCCCAGACCCCCTCAACAGCCCACGAAACTTTCAATTGAGCAACTCATCCGAGCCACACCCAACAGCGCCGGCTTGAATCTTTCCTCCAGCCAGCGAGTGATCCTCACCCCGCAGATGGGCGTACAGCCCATTCCAACAGGTGTATATGGACCGCTCCCTATCTGCTGTGTGGGACTTCTAGGAAAAAGCAGCAGGCCCTTAAAGGACTATTTGTTGTACCAGGAGTCATTGTCTCAGGTTATAAAGAAGAACTTAAAATACTTACAGCCCCCAAAATATCACAGTAATTCCGGAGGGAGCTCGTCTTGCACAATTAGTATTACTCCCCCTCTTTAAAACTAACAACCCAGTAATGCACCTAGAGAGGACCGGGGGCTTAGACTCCACTGGAACCGCTGCCTTTATGGTAGCCACCCTCACTAATAGGCCGATGAGGACCCTCCTCATACAAGGCAAACAAATGCAAGGCATACTCGACACAGGTACAGACGTATCCATAATATCTACAGGATGGTGGCCTCATACAAGGCCACTTGACAGACCGTCTACCACTATCCAGGGAGTGGGAGGCATTTCTCAGCCCTGGCGCTCCTCCTCCTTCCTTCAATGGGAGGATGAAGAGGGAGCCACCGGACAGTTCCAGCCTTATGTCATGGAACATCTGCCTATTAATTTATGGGAAAGAGATGTCCTCAGTAAACTTAATTTAGTTCTAACCAACGAGCAGCATTTTTGCTCGGGGCCACTGAGGGAGGAGAATACATACCTCCGCAAAAAATAACATAGAAAATTAACACTCCAGTCTGGATTCCTCAGTGGGCCCTCACCTCAAAAAAGCTCCAGGCTGCCCAAGAATTAGTCCAAAAACAGTTGTCCTTAGGGCACTTAGAGCCCTCCACTTCTTCTTGGAACACCCCCATATTTGTCATAAAAAAGAAATCAGGAAAATGGCACCTATTACAAGATCTCAGAGCAGTTAATGCATATATGGTGCCAATGGGAGCTACTCAGCCAGGTCTCCCATTCCCTTCAGCCATCCCAGACTCCTGGCACATCATTATCATTGACCTCAAAGATTGCTTTTTTACAATCCCATTACATCCGGAAGATAAAGAAAAGTTTGCCTTTTCCATCCCTTCTGTTAACCACCAGGCCCCTGATACAAAGTATCAATAAAAATGCCTCCCACAAGGAATGACGAATAGTCCTACTATGTGTCAGATTTATGTAGATGCAGCCATCAAGCCTCTTAAAAAGACCCTCCCTTCTTCAGTGATACTCATCCATTATATGGATGACTTACTATTAGCAGCCCAACATAGGGGAGAGTTACTACAATGCTATAATACCCTTCAACAGCTATTAACAAAGGCTAAACTACAAATAGCCCCTGATAAAATACAAATAACATCACCTTTTCAATATTTAAGGTATAAACTTACTCCCAGCCAAATTACTCCATCCAAAATTACTATACAGACCTCACACTTAAAAAACTTACATGATTTCCAAAAACTTCTGGGAGACATTGCTTAAATAAGGCCTACATTAAAAATATCCAACCAAAACCTCTTACCACTCTATCAAATATTAAAAGGCGACTCTTGTCCAGCCTCTTTAAGACAATTAACCACACAAGGGTGGGAGGCTTTACAAAAAGTAGAAAAAACATTAACTAAAACACAACTACAAAAAATAAACCTCACCAAGCCATTACAATTCATAATTTTTACGGCTAATCATCATCCTATGGGAAATTTCTGGCAAACAGGTCCGTTGTATTGAATGACCTCACCAATTAATCCTTCTAAAGTTGTGCTTCCCTATCATATAACTATAAGTAACCTACTATTCAAAGCACATCAAGCTGCCATAACAATTTTTGGCAAATACATTAATAAAATTATCATACCATACACTCCCTCACAACTTCAAGCATTAATTACCCAAGTTCCCAGTTGGACCCTCCTCACTTGTTTATATCCCACACAATGGGGAC